ACAGCTACGTGCTTATGAGGCACAGAATCCTTCTTAAAAAAATGGATCAATTTATGAACTGCACAAATAAATGAGCTCTGCTCTCGCGATTGGTTCAATTTTCATCGGTCAGAGCTCCCCAGGTCGCTATCGAAGTGTTCAAAGGTTTAGACAGGTCGCTCGAGGTTTTTATTATCTCGTAGTCCATTTCTCGATTCTTTTGTATGAGACCCAATAAATATTTTATTCTAGTGTAGTGTTCGAATTCGGACATGAAAATTCCCCGTCCCATTGGCTACACGTACTATAGCGGCCCGAAAAGCGGAATAAGTTGCTTGTTTTACGACACTTTGAATATTACAAAAGCTATAAGATCTTGAACGCGGACTTCATTAGGATGGAAAACGTCTGCCCTAAGAAGTAAAAAAACTGGGGTGCCCGTTTACTCCTTCACCCTGAACCAAAAATGAAAATCAGTTTCAACCCATTCATACACAAGAAGTGGGTGAAAATGAACACAGTTCTCGGACGAGATAGACGAGGTCCCTAGTGCTTGGGATGCGCTCGGCAATGAGTGACTGCTACAGAAGCTTCAGAATCCATGCAGTTCTAACTTGAGAAAACGATCAGAGCTCTGTGGAAACAAATAGCTTACCGCCTGAAGAAAACCGATAGTCTTTGCCGATAAGGAGGCTTGGAAAAATTTGACGGCAGCTGAATCCGTCGGCCAGCGAGCAGGAATATCGATCGCTGTCAAGGCGCTACTTTGCAGGCACTTTTGCATAAGCCCCATCATGATATAAGGTATTGCTCTCAGGTATTGGGTTTCTGCTTGATCTTGTGGATATTCCATGCAAAACTCTAAACAACCTGGATGAGAGTTAGACAAGCCTCAAGCGCTGCGCTAACTTCTTGGGTCCCACCAATTTTTAAAGCCCCATCCATACAGAGTAGGATCTCACGACATGTCAGAAACTGGTGTGTAAAACCTAGATTGCTCAGAAAACCAATGCCAGCCAGTAGCTTGCTTGATTAGCTGTAATGCTTAAAGGGGTCTGTGTTGGCTTTGAGGCGCGGTACCTGGGACATTATTGAAGCAAGCACCGCCTCAGTTGGAAAAAGACCAGGATGTTTCACGAGCTGCTCAAGAGAAACTGGCGCTATTTCAAATATTCCATATGTCAAGTTTCCGGCCAGGTAGATTTCCCGAGGTGATAGAAGGTTGGGATGTTGATAAAGTCGAAAACGGAAAATCAATTCGTTAGTTCTATTATTGGAAATTTGTCGAATAGCTACCCTTTTGTGTGAACTTGAGCGACGAGAGGCAATAATCACAGGCCCGGCAAGCTCGTTCTTCGTCAATTCTCGGTAGGTTTCCCATGACGATTCAGTCCGTACGATCAACCCGGAAGTGATCTTCTTTTCTCCGGCAATCTGGGGTAGGCCAAGGTCTTTCAAAGAGCCGTGAATAATCTTTCTGTCCTTTTTCATGGGATCTTCATTGGACTCTATGGTCTGCCCCGGTAGGCCATCATTCATACTTGAATTCAATCCAGATGTTGGGCGCAAGGACTGGGTATAGCTGAGTTTTCAAGTCAAAGAGAGGATTCCAATGTTTCAATGTTGACAGTATCTTCTATGGTGAGATATCGAAGTAAATCGGGCCCGCAATGAGTTCTGGCTAGAGATTTTCAAAATCCAATTAAGTGAAAGTGTACTATGAAAAAAGGAATTTATCGGTTTATGACTCTCTTTGGAATTCCTGTGGTGCCAAAGCCATTCCCTGTACTCGGAGACAAACAGTGCATTTACGATTCGAGCCATACTAAACAAAAAAAAATCTCCTAGTGTCTGACTGCACGGAGTTTATATTCATCTTATGAGTGTTTCGGTTTAAGTAACATGTTAATGTGAATCAAAAGCATTGGGCCAAGGGTGTGGAAATCCTTTCAATATAACACAGCCGTTCTCGGAATCGTCTTGGCCAGCACGCACTTTCTTGATTTGGCCTTGGAGCGGACGTCAATAAGAATGAATATTGGTGAGTGATGGAACACACAAAGCATAGATAGTTTCAAATTTCTTAGTATGACATCCCGGTTGGCGAAGTGTATTCTGCAGAAGTAGTTCTCTGGATTCGAGACTGTTTATCATTTTGCACCAAAACACAGCATGTGCAGCAGGCAGAAGCCACGCAGTCTCCGCAGGCTGAGCCTTTGATATGAAAGTGCCTCTTGATTTTATTTCGTTGCAGCATAAGTGGTAACCAGTGTATCGCGCAAGTCCCAAGTATCAAAAATAAACAACACTAGGGGTACTGTATCAGTAACACTTCTGGCCTTGAGGGAGGTTGTATTTCTTCATGTTACATCAAAGTTGCAATAGCTCTCTTTCTGCTTTTTCTTGAATCGCGAGGTTGTTTTGCCAAAAAGACAGCACGGAAAGAGACATGCACAACAACCTATTGGGACATTTTGAGCCGGTGTTCTCAATGATGACAACTGGCCACTTACAAGCTTTTGCTGGGTTGCAGCAGGCCCAGAGCGAGTAGCTCCAATCATAGCTAACAGAGTTATTGGAATCGGAAGTTGTCATTCTATCAAAGGGTGGCTGTAGAGTGGCTTGACCATAGTCCTCAGCGGCAGGAGGGTGAAAATCGTCTTTATTATAGGGGTGGCATCCTAAATTGCTCAGTTGCCTGACTGTCAAAGGGACTGAACAATTTAGAATGGCTTACATTGTTATGACAAGAATAATTTGATATCATTCGTGAGAATCAAGAAGAAGTTCATAAACGTCTGGTAGCACAACTACCTGATAATTCCAAGGCGACTTTTCGACGCCCGAGCATCACAATTACTTTCGATGTTTCAATTTTATCCTTTTATTCATTTACAGACTAAATAGGAGGGCCTGTTGCACATTTGGTTCACATAATCAGAAAAATTGAAGTTTAAATCTTCCAAAATTGGTTACGTTTAAAATTTTTGAGTTTTAATACTGTTCAAAATACCGAGAACGATATTTCCGGGCATATTTCATGACTGTCAGGTTCCGTTCGTAAATCTACTTGTAAAATTTTTACTGGTTATTTTTCTCGGCCACTCATATGCGTTGTGCGCGTTTATGCATTACAAAAGCTAGGCCCTTCGTTTTTGAGTCTTGGAAAGATAGATACATGCCTTTCGGTGCGGGTGTATCGTATAAACAAAACGTATGTATTACATTACATTACACAGCAAAATTTACAGGCTCGGAACTAAAAAGAATGTGGCTGTGCAGCAGCCGTCAAGAAACGGTAAGCTCAATACTCATTAAATACGTCGTAATGAAGAGGGTCAAGGTCTAAAAGCCTTCGGCCGGGATAAACCCTTTTCCTACAAAATGCTGCAAACACGCCCTCAACAGATAATTGCCTTCATGAGATACCCTCACTTCCATTTCTTGCATAGCGTATAATCTATCTAAGAGTCAAGGGTCATGCTTTCTTTCCAAAAGAAGCCGGTCTACAAGAGCCATGATATCTGTTATTATATGTCGAGCGGAAAGAGTGGTCAAATACCACTAAGACGCTTTTGGGTGGGATGTTCATCGTCCGCCCAATTCCCCACGTATTCGTGTGGTATTCGGTGTAGACTCGGAGTATGGTGTCGTAACACACCGAAACTAGATGATACAGACTCTCACGAGTGTTCAACCACTCTCATCTTTAATCAATCATATGATTCTATGGGACATGTTCAGTACTAGCCAGTACATCAATTCCTTATCCTGACACTATCTACCGAATATTACAATCACGTTCCTAAATACAACATATGACAAAACAAAGCTCCACATATTCCGACATTACTAAGCTCGGACCAGTCTTCAATCGTCCTTCAATCGTCCTTCAATCGTCCTTCAATCGTCCTTCAATCGTCCCCCAATCGTCCCCCAATCGTCCCCCAATCGTCCCCCAATCGTCCCCATCCTCTCCCGCTCCAGCTCCATGGAATATGAGCAGAAATTACATCCTGGTTGCCACTGCATTTCACATCAAGAGGTCTATCGCCATTGGCTCCGAGAAAATGCCCGAATACGAGTGTCTTCTTGCATGCGCATCTGCCCTTATTGCGGAAACCTATTTTCAAACGCCAGCCGGCTTCGAAAACATCTTCGGCAGGACAAGTACCGGAGAAAAAAACATATTCATTGAGCCGCATCGTGCAGGTGCGGCTGGTATAAGGTACCGTATCGTTTGACTTCGAACAGTAAACATTTCTGACAAAACGCGGATCACCATTCTGTCTCCCAATTTTATCAGATTCTTCGATTTCCAGGCCACCAGTGAGCCCCAGAAATCATTCCCCGTTGGCGCTACAGCGGCCTACCGCCACCTCGCAAAGAAATTTGGAACCAATGCTCCGAGAAGTTTTGCATGACTTCGGCTCCAGCTCTGGGATTAACTCGATATCGGAACCATGTACCTTGGAAACAATGACAGAGAAAACCCGGTCGCTCTGGCTTTCATCGACATCATTCATACCACATCTGGTTGATTCCTCCCAGAGCTGGAGGGATCGAGCACCCTTCATTCGTGAATTGGTCATGGCAACATTACAAAAAATACAGGCCGGTGATCATGCTGCAACGGCCCACAAACCCGAAACCCAATTCCACGTGAATTATCAAGGGGAGGTTGACAAGACCGTTGACCCTTTAATTGTGGTGTCTCAGCTTGTGGACCCTGACCCGAATAAGCCTGCCTTCCTGACCGGTTTGCGGTTACCAACCATAGATGATTTAGGGCTGCGTGTTCCTCACAGTGTTTGCAAATTTTTCGAGCCATTCCACGAGTCAAATGAACAAGCCAACTTAACGCCGCGATATTCCTTTGTTGACTTACACATTGGTAAGTCGTATTTTCGTGGCAACGACAGGGCTAACGATGGACAGACTACGGAGCAGACGGACTTTCCGTTCCAATTGGAGATTGTCGCAAAATATGGTTGCTTTATCCTCCCACTATCCATAACTTGATGGCTATGAAGGCCGTTGATGGCCAGCGTGGACGATTGGTCCGACTTGTGCAGCAGCTGGAAGGTTGCGTGGTCGTGGAAACGAATTCATCGCATGCAATACACATTCCCGCAGCATCTATCCATGCGACCTTCACTTTACAAGGCGGATTTCTCATAGCGAAGGATTTTACTACATCAAAGTCCTTGATGGCGATTTCGGAATTCCTGGCCAACGGCCTGGATGAATGTCTGCCCGTTGATGCACGTTCGGTATGTTTTGAATGGTTCGAGCGTTCATTGGACATATCCCTTGCCCATTCCAAGACACGGGAAGCAGTGTACGCGTGGCACAGAGCAGAGACCAAATTAGCATCCTGGGCATCTGTTCAGCGTGCGTGGCGAGTCAGCGTTCAGCGTCTTTGGGAGCAAGCTCTTGTTCATGACTTTACATATCACTGCCCCTGTGGTAACCAAGGACGCAAAACTTCATTCACGAACCATTTTCGCTCTGCTCATCTTTCCTTCTTATTCTCATCAACCCAGCTACGTCGACGTTGTTGATAATTGAATTTTGAAATGAGTATTTTACAATATAAGACAGAAATTCATTGGGTTTATGGTATTCATCATTCTCTGGTGTCTTCCAGTCGAGGCTCATGAGGCTCATGGATGAGGATCCTCTTCATCCACTTGTACCGTGGATTCTCAATACTCCAGATCCTCCGCGAAGTAGGCGTTGTGCTGTAGATTGCACTGCAACAGAGGTTGGTAGTCATTTCCTCTGAAGCCTGGCCGATGGCCGTATCCCAAAGAGTTACTGTTCGGTTAGTGCTCAGCATGTATCTATAGCGATTTCCCAAAGGCCACCTTTTATCGAGGTACGCTCGATCACGCGTGGATAATTTGCCATCAACTTCAAATTCTTCCGCTATTTCGTCTCTTGTGTAGAGCCAGGTATACACAACGATATAGCGTCCATCGTCCAGGCATCGAATATCAGATACTTTGGCCAGGGAAGTGCCGTATCCAGTATCTACATTGACAATGAATCCGCGTTGCAATGTCCAAGACTCCAGAGGCGCGGAGTCCGTCTTCTGAAGATCCTTCCACGGCTTTGCACCATTCAATGGAAGCGGTTGAAAGTCTTCAACACCTTCTCGTGACACATAGTACAGCTCCTGCGCTGGACTGGCTAGCCATTTTCGGCGAACGACGGTCCCGAAGCATGAGAAGAGCAATGTCTCAAAGAGAATCCATTCACAACAGATCCGGAGTAAATTAAGCCCTCCCGGGCCTTGGACCGCATTAGAGGGGAGAGCAGATGAAAGTCGTTTGAATTTTACACAGACGAGGTTCAAAAACCCTGTGATAGGATCATCTCCATCTTTGATTTCCCCGGCATGGCCATTCTTCTTTGAAAGATCTGATTCATGGTCCAATATGCAGATAAAAGCCTTACCAAGAGGAGAGACCATAGCCCCGTTTTCCACGAGTCTTGTGTGCATTTGGTCCAGAGACTCTTCAATAAGTGTTTTGATATGCTCGACTTTGTTAGAGTTTAGCGGTAGCTCTGGCGAGTTAGATTCGCCATGGGAATTCTTTGTAGCATCTGAGGCTGGTGCTCCCGCTTGATCACATGAATTGGATGTTGCCTGTTCTTCAAACGTGGAGGCACTTGCTTTCGAGCCGGTGGGCGGCTCGATTCCGTCTATTTCCATTGGCTCAACGGGGGGAGTCATCAAAATTTATCCATGGGGAGAAATTCATGTCGTATGGGAAAGAGCAGGGAGGGTGAGATGGATTGGCACCTTTCAATCAGAGTCAGAAAAATTTCTTGCTCCGCCAAGGGTCCACGAACACAATGTAAATTGAATATCCACTGAAAGACAAGTCCGTTTGCCGCAATGGAACCATTTCTGGGGGTCTATGTGACGAACCTATATTGAAGAGACTCGCAGGCACGGGGGCCTCGAGGTCAGTTTGCTTGATTGAACCCTGCCCCTTGATCTCGCAGGAGAGAACGGCGGGCGCTGCATCGATTATTTTCTCCCTTTCTAATTTTCCAAGGCTTGCGAATGCGGCGAGATGCATGGCGAATGATTGCGCGAACTAAAAGTCATCAGTATATAGATGTCGAATTGGGGGCATAATGCACCCACACTCGAGGAGGTAGCATAGCGGCGGTATACGTGAGATTGGTTGGGAAAAATCTGGTGGAGCAGAAACTATCAGCATCATCTTTGGCCCGCCTGGCAGTAAACTGTACATACCAGTACATCAGCAGAAAACAAAACTGACGACGCAGACATTATTTTGGGAATAGCAGACTCTTAGATGCGAAAGCAGAATAGAACCCATCGCACTTTAGGCAGACGACCGTTTTTAAGTTGTATCCAGTCGATAACTTGAGCCACAATGCGAAGTAACTGGTCTGGTTAGGTGAAGAAAGATCCTAACCATTGATATTTCGATGTGATCACAGGCTCCAGCCTATATTTTTGGTCCCCATATTTCAAGTTCGAAATATCGCACTAGTCCGATTCTTGATCAACATTCCCCTCGGCTCTCGTAAGACTACAGAAATTGCCGGCCTCAGGAATGAACAGTTATGTACTGACCCTGCAACACCGCACCTAGCTAAGGGGCCTCAACTTACTGACAGGCCATTACGGCTCGGGGTCCTCCACCCGCTCCGAAGTCTAAAATTCTTACTTCAACGTTGAATCAACCGCCTCAACGCCCGGCGAAAATGCGGCCGTCCCTACGAATGGCGAGTGGAAATCTCTGGGTCCGGCAAGATGTACGCAAGTAGTCGCTGCCGAAAAACGTACCCGAAATGGCATTAAAAACGCACCTTTCCTGTCGAGAAGAAAAACAGGACTTTCCTCCTCACACTCCCGAGCCACTCGGGTGTTCTTTGCAAGATAAGATCTGCGATATCAAGTGTTCTTCGCAGGACGGGCTCTGCGTTATCAAGTGTGCCTCGCAGTCGCCATCTGCGATGACAAAATACCCGCAGGGGGACGCTGCGTTACCAATTGAGACCCGCAGGAGAATCCTGCGTCAGCAAGTTCTCCCTCACAGACGATGAGCCCTGTGACTGTAAAAACGTGCTCCCTCACAGCCCATGAGCCCTGTGATTGTAAAAATGTGCTCCCTCACAGCACTGAGACCTGCGTTGTAAAAATGTGCTCCGCAGGGACATCTGTGATATGAAGAGCCTCCGCAGGAGACCGCTGCGACACCAAGTTCTCCCTCACAGCACTGAGCCCTGTGATTGTATAATTTTGAGCTTCCATGCAGCCTTGAGCCCTGCGTTATCAAATTTGTGCTTGTTAGGCGACCCGTGGCGCCGCGGTCCTCGTCCTGATCCTCTGGCGATTGCAGGCACCTCTTCGTGGTGTCAGAGACTAGTATTCGGGTCTGTCTGAGACCTCGAAGAAGCCAAGACCTGCTCCAAACAACCAATAGGAATTAAGAGTCCAACAATACATGGTGTAAAATGACTTCAGTATTGTACGTAAGTGCCACCGTACATGGCTCTGGTTCGAAAGTTGCACTTTGTAGCGCTCAATCACGCCCTGAGCTTCGAGAATGGGCATTCTCTTCCACGTAGTGTGAATTAGAGCATCGAGTCATGGCTGATAGCGGGGTGGCCAATCTGGGTGGCGGCTGAAATCCAAAGTAGTCCATTGGTGTGAATGCTTGTCTCTATTGGCTGGCAGTGGCAGCAGAATTTGTCCGGATGTAGGGAGATGCGGGGTTTCGACGGTGAGTAGGTGGTGTGTTGGCGTGTTGATTGTGAGGGCGTGTTGATGGTCAGTACGGGAGACTCCCGGGCGGTGAAGTAGCGGCCAACGGTAAACACCCATCCCGTCATAGTGAGGGTCTTTGTTCCTTACGCAAAAATTGATAAACAGTGCGAAACGGTGATTTCTACATATTAGATTCGATATGGTAGTACATACTCCGGTCGGTCTTCTGTGTGACATTCTCTCGGCTCGAGCATCGTCGCGTGCTCTTTGGCGATATCCTGTATCTGAGGTAGTGTCGCTATATGTCAGTTTAATATCAAATATATATATCCCTAGACCAGTCCTATTGTATACACTATCGGCGGTAAAACCGGGAACAAACCACCATAATAACAGCGATAGAGAACTTGATTCTTCGGAACATATTTCAGTTATCACTTCGTGTCGGCCTGATCGAATGAAATACACTTGTGAAGCGGTACAGGGAAATTCGAAAACAGTTTCCCCTCTGGGCATATGCGTGTTGATTCTCGGGTTTTTTAATCCGTTTATCCGTGACGGGGCTAAACCGTAATAGGACTCCCGGTGGGGCAATAACCAATAATTTGCAGAATAGATTATGGCTGGATCATTCTATTGTAAGTTTTGTTTAAATTACAGTCTGCGAGAGAATGTCTCAGTCTCTGGAGGGGAAATTGTTTTCGAATTCCTCTGTAAACGCTGATCTTGCTGGATATGTGCCCGGAGGAATGGCGGATATGATTATTTGGAAAATTGTGGGTATGATTGAGCAAAATTCTTGCCAGGGCACCTCTCCCTGTGTGGTCTAATGGAATTTGCTGCATTGGTTTTCCAATAACGGCCCGGGTTCGATTCCTGCAGGATAAATTCAGATGACCTTTCATCAGAAAGACGGATCAAAACCCGCTTGATTTCCCGGGTGATTTCGTGTTTTCTACGGTTGATTTTTACCTCTTGACCACTTCGTGATTATAATGAACCCCCTTTCCTGTAGTCACTTGCGCATGCCGACCCAAGGCAGCATCCGGCGGCATTCGGACGTGTGCCACGGGCGACGAGGCCGTGCACTGACGCGTCGCAGCGTCTCGCGTCGGGCACACGTGACATTCCCACTGACAGAAATATGACTGCTACTTTCGAAGTCAACAATTACGTCTTATCCACGAGTTATCACAATCTGACCTGGCATCTTTCGAGTCATAATTGAGCAATTGTAACCGTTGCGGCAATCGAGTGGCATTACTTTACGAGGCTGCTTCTGCTGATGAGTTCATGGCGTTCGGTGACGACTAGGCCTCGACAGAAGTCGCGATTCTCCAGGTCCGGTCCGGCTCCAGAACCGCCAAGGCCCGGTTCCGGTTCTGGGTTCTTAGAACCGCGATTCCACTACTTAAAAGTTAGAACCGACCCTGGCGGTTCTTTAGGAACCTGCAGGTTCCTCAAAGATCACAAATTTGGTAAACCCCGTGACTTACATGTTTTATGCAGTTTTGGTCTGTATTTTTGAAGTACTTATTTAAAGCTCTACTTGAAAAGAAGAATTAGACGTGAAGCGAATTAGATATACCTAAACGCAAGAAAATTCATTTTTTTTAAAAAATAAGAAAAAAAAAAACTTTATTTGTTTCTATGGCTTTTGATATTCATATAAGTCTTCATCCCTTCGTATACGCTTCGGAACCCGCCCAGATGTACGCCTTTGGGTACTGCTATTCTCTGGAAGAGGCGGCTCATCTTGTTCACCTTCACCATCTTCTAGTTGAATAGGCGGCGCCTGGGTACTAAGTAGGTCTGTTGGTGTTGTTCCTACTCTTGGTCTCTTACCAAGGATGCTCTCGCCAACTAGCTGGGTCGGCTTAGATGTTGCATCATCAGTGGAATCCTCTTCTTCCTCCTCATCATCACTAATCAAATCGAACACCTCCTCCTTCTTTTTCTGAGCCTCCTTCTCTTCCGTTTTCTCATGGATCTCTTGAGTAGAGAGATACTCATCAATAAAGGCCAACTTCTCCGATTCAACGTCAAAGCGAGTTGTACACATCATCATCATAAGATCTTGGATGGGTTTTGGCTTCAGTGATCCTCGACGGAAGTGACAGATATCCCGAGCACAATTAAACAACCGCTCAACACCTGCACCGGATGCAGGAGTAGAAAGAACATCTCGCGCGAGGCTTGCAAGGATAGGAAGTTCATTCTCATGGTCCTTCCAGAACAAACGTGGATTGATGAGACGAGTACCTATCAGTAGGTCAGTATATATGAAGTAAGAGATAAAGCGTTTACTTACTACTACCTAGATAACGCCTCAGCTCATCATCAACGCTCGTCTGAGACTCGCTAGATTGGGCGGTTGATACCATCAATTCTAGGTTGGAGACCTGTGCTGCGGAAGGTACACTATCACGCATAGGCTGGGACTCCAAGTAACGCTTTTCGTATGGGATAAGGTACTTCTCGAGGCTCTTGCGGTATCGAGGAGCCCACTTTGGCTCCCACTCTGGCTTCTGGAAGAATTCAATCTTATTCTGAGGCGCCATGATTGTAGCAATCTGATAGAGATCGTCGCCAACGTCATCTGTCGCCCTGCGATACTGCGAAAGCTTCTTCCTTGCATAAACAAGTTCTTTAAGCATCGCAGTCTTCCAATTGACCTTTTTTCGCACTAGCTGTCTCTTTGACTTCTCCAGGTGAGCAAAGAGGGCGTTGTAGATGCCAAAGACGGTATGGATAGTGATATCCTTACTCTTTGAGACCTCATTGGTAAAGCTAAAAAATGGCTGGGTGATTGAAAGAAGATATTCAACCTGGCGCCATTCCTCTTCGCTCAGTTGAAGATCCACGTGGTTATATACCCGGCAGAACTCATCGAACGTTGACTGTAGCCGCTTCGCTCGTCGGAGCATCAGAAAAGTTGAGTTCCAGCGGGTTTTGACATCTTGCATCGGCACAAGCTTTGGCTCTTTGGTTTGGAGCCCCAAGAAATGCTCTCGGCGCTGGGGACTTCTGTTGATGTGGACAGCAAGCTTTCGGACCTAGTAGATAGAAGTCTGTTAGTAACGATAGTCAGAAAAGGTTAGTAAGAGATAAGCTTACCTTATTCAACGTGTAGATTATCTCGTGATTCTCTCGGCGAGAGGAAACCGTTCCTCCAGTAAAATCCATCTCTTCTCTCTCATTCTTCGGATTAGCTTCCATCTGGCCAAGAAGCTCTTTCAGACTAAGCTGAATAACATGTGCAATACATGGCATGCGGATAATGGGTATATTGCTTGGTAGCTTGAGCCCCTGAATAGATCCCTTAAGACTCTCTACCAGCGTTGAGTTATTAGACGCGTTATCAGTAGCAACGATCAATACGCGATCCTCAATCCCATGCTTCTGTAGTAGTGGAAAGAGAACTGCGCCAAGATTGATGCCAGTATGCGACCCATGAACAGGCTCAAAGCCAAGTAGTATCTCGCGGTAGTTCCAGTCGTGCTCGATAAAATACCCAGTAACTGCCATAAATGCCTGGCGAAAGGGTGACGTCCAGGAATCTAATGCAATAGAGAGCTTCCCACCCTCAGGTAGCGTTTGAAGGAGACCCTGCTGCCGTTCTTTAACGATTACCTGTAGCCGGCGACGGATAGTAATGGATGTGGGTATTTCTGGCATGCTTGGGGCAAGACGAATTGTTTCAACTAGAGCGCGAAACTGGGGATGTTCAACAAGCTGGAATGGCAGTTGTAAGCTTGACAGGAAGATGAGAATCCTCTCAATCCAGGCATCGTTTGTAAAGACAGACTTTTGCGGTGCGAGATGTGCCTAATGTAAACAGATATCGGTATGTGTCTAATAAGGAAACTAAAGTTGTCAACTTACTCCTTTTTGGATGAGTTTCCGAATATCCTTTGAATGTGGTGTCTTCTTTCGACATTTAACACTCCCCTGGTAGTGTTTATTCATAGAAGATGTTCCTCGGTGACCATCTGCCGGGTTTGTAAGGGTGTGATCGCATGTTTTACACATAACCCTCGGTTCCCCATCTGAAATAGCAGCAACTTGGTGAAAATGCTTCCAACATTCTGCTGTTTGTGCCCCACGCTTATCCTCGAAGAGATTGCGGTTGATGCGGCTACCAAACTCAGTTTTCAACCACCATGCAACGAATTCATCGTTCACCATCTCCGTCCACAGTACAAAGCTCTTCTTTCTCAAAGGTCCAACGTGCTCAAAGATCTTCGGCGGGGATATTGATTGGGACCGGATAAAGCTGATATCAGCTGTAGAGCCAGAAGTATTGCTGTGTAGAGCATCAGGGGGGGAAGGATTGGACGCTATCGGATGGAAGGAAAGGGAGATTATATAGAGGTGTGTCCTCGAAGATAGATGAAGAATAGTGATCGGAAAACTGAGAGAGTTGACTCTGTGACATAATGAATAAGAGAATGTGGATATAAGAGAGAGTAGATGAAGAGAAAAGACTTACAAGAAGCCCTATATCTATCAAGGACAGGTCTTAATAGAAAAGTGTAGGACATAGCGATCGCGAGCTGAATGGACAAAGTGGATATATCTATTTGAATATAGACTAGGTCTACTGTCGGGCGCTTGATAATTGGCTACTAGAACCCACTCCGCCAGGTTCTCTCAGGTTCCTCCCGGGTGGAACTGCGCGGAACCTGGCGGTTAACCTGGCGGTTAACCTGGCAGTACCCGGCAGACCCGGAGGTTATAGCATTACCGCAGAAATCGGCCGACCGAAGACTTCAGCATAAATGAGACGACCGGCCAGTTCAACATACTTTAAGAGGCAAAATAACTTATTCCAAGGGGCAATTCGAATTTAAAAAGCTAGGGTTATTTCTTAGAGCTATCCATTTCATTTGAGTTTAGTTGTAGCTTCTTCGATCAAGATTCTAGGTGTGTATAAATTTTAGAGTCCTATAGAAGAATGGTGGGGTTGCGTTGGAAGAAAATATATGTTTCCCTGTCACATACTTCTATCTCTATAGTACACTATCTCCCTACCCACAAAGAGTAATGAGATGGAGTTTAAAAGTCTAATGAAATTTATTGCCGAATATCTGATATACGAGACAATTTCACATAGTTTCATATACAGGATAGTTACATTCGAAGACTGATCGAGGTCGGGACCAAAACAGACGGAAATAACAGTAACTAACAAAAAAGGATGAATCAGCAATATATGCGTCCAAAATAGGAAACTTCTTGGCAAATTTATGCACCCCAGGTTCCAACAAGTGCGAACTGGGAAGAACCTGCAGGATCGTTGGTCCGGTTCCGGTTCTGAAAGTCGGAACCGGGGACCCGTATGGTCCGACTCCAGGTTCCGACGTTTAGAACCGGAACCGGACAATGTCGAGGCCTACGTAGGGCACATCGGCCACGACACCCACATTGAAAGAAACATCAGCAACCACGTTTGGGGTCAACAAGTAACGTGTTTTATAAGCGAGCCGCGCAGCCAAAGCGAGCCGCTCACCCGTCACCACACCCCATTACATTTATACAAATATATCAACCACCACCAATTATATTGCAAAAAACTACGTAGTATTAACAAGTGGGCACCTATTTCACTTATGCCCTGGATCCCTGCAATTACCACAGCGCTATGGTGGCCTCTCACTCGCTGCTCTTGGCACACGCGGGGGTGCCGATGATGTAGCCATATTGGCTTCCCTCTCAATTTGTAGGCGTACCAGCATGTCCTCAGCGCCAATACCGCCATCATATGGCATTTAACTATTCAGTAATGCTATTTTCTAAATTTGATGGGCATTTTCAGCACGTAGGGCCTGGTTTTCGGCATATAAAATAGCGTTTTGGTGGAACGCTTTTTCAGTGCCGTGAGCAAGTTGTAGTACTTGCTTAATAGCCTCTGCCGGTGCAGTATATGAATGCTGTGTTAAAAGCTGTTGAATTGATCTTATTTGTCGTCGGACACTGCTTAGTTTGTATGGCGTTTGTGGTATAAATTCACGGCTGCTAGTGCTACCACGAGATGGTGGTGGTGTAGGTGTTCGGAGGCGTATATTTAGCTTGTCGAGTACTTTCTCAGGCGAATGAGGTATACTACCAGCACTCGCAAAGCTATTTGCAATATTCAGAGGCTTATATACCTCTGCACGAATGCTGGTGTAAACTGACAAGAAATCAACCTTATCAATATAGGTTACACCTTGTTGAGCTTTTGCCTGGATAGTATTGCCATAAATCCGTTTCAAGCTTGCAAAACAACCAACATCAAGAGGTTGTAATAGATGTGATGAATGCGATGGCATACAAATTCCAATAATCTTATATTGCTTGCAAATATCATCAAATTGAGAGGTAAGATGACTCCCATGACCATCCATTACCAAGAGTATCCAAGCACCCTTCTGACGCTTTGTAGCATATGGAATAAAGCTTTTTTCAAGCCATTGGATACCAATTTCATCAGTCGTCCATCCATTATCACTAACCTCAAGACGCCAGTCTCGTGGAATAGTATAAAACTAGTGCTCCATGAAGTTTTTGCCTTTGAAGATAATGGTCGGTGGTAGAACCTCATGAATATTGATACACTCAATTACTGTAACCCACTCACGGTTACCAGGCTGTAGGAGCTTACGCCTCCCGTAGTAGTCTCTTCGAGTAATAACCTTTGAAGTGCTTGCAACCCCCATTGCGAATCCAGTTTCATCAAAATTGTAGATATCATCATCAAGAATACCATACTCGGCAACTGTATTGCAAAAAAGATCAAACCAAGGCTTTATAATCTTTGGGTCTTCGCATAGCGCACGTTGATTGTTATATCGGCGTGAAAAGCGTGTTTTTAAGCAATCTTGACGTTGAACGAAGTTGGAAACCCAATTCCTGCCAACTGGAGTAACATGGTGATTATTTCGCTTTGCAAGCAATAAATTGGCCATTTGTTGCACCATAATACGCTGAGGGGCCTGTCCACGCTCGTCCATAGATAGAATCCATTTTAAAAGCGAATCCTCCTCAGTTTCAGTCAACTTTCGACTATTTGCAGGTGCAATCGGCCGATGAATAGCACCCTTTAGGCGATCGCGTAGCGTTGTGAGTGGTACATCAAAAACACGCGAGGCTTCACGAATAGTGGCGAGTCGTCATTTTTCAAGGCTTGAATAGCAAATTCCATTCTGCCCTCTTGTTCTACCAATTTTTGGCGCTTTGTATTGCGTATTGGTGGCATGATGATGGTTTGAAAAAGGAGAGTTGCAACACGCGACGCGTTTTGGTGGGGTCTGAGCGGCTCGCTTGGCTGCGCGACTCGCTTATTAAACACGTTAGGACTTGTACGTCTGGGATAGAAATCTAGTCTTATACCTTTTGAATCATGGAAGAAAAATTGTCACACTATGAGCTTCGCGAGGCTGTTTCTGCTGGCTAGTTCGTGTCGCTCAATGTGACATCGAGGAGGGAGTATTCGATTGACTCGCGGCTGCATTTGGGAGGAAACAGTCATCTTCATATTAGCGAATTGGCAGCATTGTCAGTTGGATACCCAAAACTTTCAGTGATGACAATGTAGTTGCCAACTTCGTTCATGAGATAGGCCATGGTGGCAACCTTGCATCACCGTCTGCATTCAAACAAGACAAAAGCAATTTGCCCTTGGATACACTCGATCTAGCACCAATTGTGAGCAACTGGCGCAAGTTGGTTGTTCGCCACTCACAGTGTTCGCGGCCTAGATGAGAATCCCAATACCAGCCACAATACAATATCCCGATCGGACTTGTGTGAACGGCCGAACCAGTGTTATGTTTCACTGCCTCTCTATATCAGCATGACTGAGGGTGACTGAGGGTTGTAGAGACTTGCTGTTAATGTAGTCTGGTATCAGCGAAGGCCAACCAAAGGTGTAGCGGGCTCAGCTCGATTATGCGTGGACGAGGGCCCAGGATCACTGCGTATCGCTGGAAACGGACGACGACATTATCCTCCAACGCATAGCTGTTTATCGGGTAGTAGGTAAATCTTCAAACATTTCAGCACAATGTCCGCTTGAAGAAGAGAATCGTGGTGTTCTGTCCCGGGTAGACAAGGAACTGACCTGAAACGACTGCTCTCGTGGCGAGAGATCTGGGGTAGATCGAGCGCTGCGGTCTGCATCGTCACTTGCACAGCTGCAACCAGGGCTCGACGGACTATCCTTCGACTATCAGACTATGGCCAAAAGCTCGATTCATTGCTGATTGATGCTATTCTCGGAGAAGCCGTGGTATATATCGGTGGTCGTCGATGTTACGCTTCCCTTTGTTGTCGCCGGATGCTGCGATCACTCAGTCGGCCTGGCATAGCATAGACTGGATCATGCATGTCGGAATACAAAAGATTTCTAATGCAGTGACAGTTAACCTTTGGTCGGAAAGGACGAGCCTGGAAAAGGTGAGAACACTTTGGAATTCTTACCACTGGCTAAGCAGAGGGCATCAAGCCTTTCTGAATTGGGCCCGCTAATCAGCAAGGTGAAGTAGCCATTTCAACCACGTCTTCAGAAATAACAAAGGCGCAAGCGTCGTAATATTCAGTGGCTTGGTCCATCAGGTTGTTTGAAGCTGGTTCGGTTTCGAAGACGAGGGGGGAACATAGCTCGGTCAGGTCGAGTGTAAAATTCGAGCTCGCCCTATGACGAAAAGAATCATCAGCGATATTTTCTGAATAACGAAGAGCCACGAGCGGATATCGATCATTTTGAGATTGAAAATGCAGTACCGGGCGTTGGGAATGGGCAGGAACAAAGCACTAGGGTGACTTACAAGACATTGAGCGCCTCGCGATAGAAAGTTCGCCATCCTATGAAGGGGTCGTCAGCACACCATATCTGCCTTGAAAATTGCTGCATCTTTGAACTTACGTTGTCAGTTATTGCTGTCCACTTCAGGGGACTCTATAAAGGATGGCACCTAATTATCTTCAATCATTAGCAGGTAGCTTATAAAGGCAACTTGTAACTCACCGTGCTCGCAGCTTGGACCATTCCAGATCCAGATCCTGAAGGTTTGTTCAATGGCTTCTCAGAGGAATAGCGGAGGTGAGACTGATACCGACCAGTTTCCATGTTAGCATGATTCCAAATGACTGGGCAGCTACACTCACTTGCTGTTCGAAGGCCTCTTGTGTCGAGAAAAGCCAGGCTAGTGTGATGCAACAAGTCAGTCAATTTCGTTAGACGATTTCGAAGCCAACGTACCAAATAGTAGCCACGGAAACGAGAATTGATCGATATTCTTTTACCCAGAGTGACAAAGGAATGCTTGCGAACGACGGTTCTGCTGGTGACGAACCGGGTATTTATAGCAATTCAGCCAGACATTCAGCCTGCGTCAATGAGATCATCATTATGAATTGTGAAGGCTCAAACAAAAACTAGTCTTCAATGATCACTAGCTCAACATTTCATCATTGATGCAAAGCAGCTCTCAGAGACCATGCATTTTGTTCCTGGTGATCAAGAGCATGAAAAATATTTTCTGGCTGTTGGCATTGTTTC